TTTGAGGCAATCTCTTTCCCATAGGTCTTTGCGCTTTTACGTAACGCGCATCTAACTGTGCGGAGTTTGGTTTTGAGGCCGGCTGGTTCCCGCCTCAAGTGTCATGGCGTACCAAGCCACAAGAGGCCGGTAACTAGTAATGAATCCGGCATTCTGATTGGCCCGTCACTTTCTCGTTGCTTGTTCTATTTCCCTTGGTTACCTGACGGCAGCGCTTACGCTCGTGGCCGTTCAGGGGTTTCCTTTTACTTTCGAAAGTTGGGTGAATAAAAAACTGTTTCTTTTGTTATAAATTTTCACAGAAACAGCGAGGAATGTCAGAAACATGTCAAATGTGTAAATCTAAGCAGGCAGTATGTTTGAGCATGGAAGTTCCAGTCAATGTCAACCCCCACCCTCCCCACCTCGGGGTTTAGTGGGGGAATTGGAAATTATTGTTGTAAAATTTGCGAAATGCCCCACTTGGGGCAAGATGGATAGGCAAATCCCCATCCAAAACAAACCCCCACAATAGCTAGGTGATTTTCCGAACAATTGCGAGATCTCGCGAGATGCATGAAAGACCTGCGTCGAACGTCTGCCGCAAAAATCGAACGATTTGATTTTGAACTAGAATTTCTTTATTTCGCAGCTTACATTGACCGGCCGATCTTCGACAGAGGAATATTGCTTCCGAATACCCTTACTTAATCGAAATTGCCTATCATCAAATGTGGACAGCACATTATTAAGCATGGAAATGTCCCCGAAATACTTTCGCGTTTGTCGAATCCCACGCGAGGTTTGACGCGACTACTACGCTATGACCTTTGTTTGTCCTGTTTTTACGTTCAATTTCACGCATAACGCGTGATTCTCGCAGTGAACGGAAAATGGTCTATTCCCCAACCCTAAACCCTGGGGAACGCCACTGTCCGCCATGCTTGCTATCAGCAGAGTACTAGCGATGCTAGCGTTGACGGGACACGAAAGACGGCTATTACCCCACCTCCACGGGCACACTTTGGCGGTAAACCCAGTCTAATGCCCCGCATTTGTCCCATATCGCCCGAGGTGGGAGGGTTCGGGGTTGACATTGACTGGAGCATTACGCAGAACGGAACTTGGAATGTTTTCAAATTACGTCACTCAGTCACGTGCCTTCCGGCCGGAAAACCAGGAGCGTTTTCGATTATCGGCCTCGAGGCGCCCCGGGGTGCCTCGAGGCACCTCGACTAACGTTCGATTATTATTATGGAACAATATGGCGATTACTAGTTACCTGCGTCCCATTGACGCTGCAGTTCGGCGTCTTCTACACCGTTTGTTTGTGCTGGGACAGCGCTTCCGGGGACGACACAACGCCTGCGTCCTACCTACCATTCGCAAAGGACGCCGGGAACCAGCGAAGTTTTGAGGTAGTCCAAAACGAGTTTTACGACAAGTCGGCGCTTTGCGACAATATGAGTCGGCAAGTTCCGGACAGAAAACCGATCTGTGGAGACTCGTCGTAGGAGATTTTTTTTTTTTTTTTTTTGAGAACAGGCGAAAATTAATGCGCGCGCGGATGTCATCCATAAAATTAAATCGGTGTAGCCTAAACAATGTATTTTACACGCGTTTTATACGTCGCTATGAGTCCCATATCGAACAGGACACGGCGCGACGACTGCCGCCCTTTAACCATTTAGTTTTTCCAGAAATTATTTTGCGAGTTAAACCTTATCGCACCAGCCTAGGGAGTTATGAAGGGTGCTTAGAATATTTGAGAAAATACTGGAGAAGACCACAGTGCTCTCGAATATAG